TCTGCCCAGCCCCATCTAGCCAGTTTCATTCCCTGATCATTCCCAGTGTTCCCACGTACCAAACCTCCTTGGTGATCCACCAGATTACCCTGAGATGCTTCACCCCTAACTGACAAAAACACTGAATTCGGACTCCTAGATGCTGATAACTGAGCAACTCAGTGCAGCGCCACTTCACCGTGTACTGCGCTGTTTGGAAATTGGGGATCTTGACCCAATTCCAAGATCGCAACACCTTGGGATCCCTTCTTTGTCAATCGCCAATCTCCAAATGAATCGTGAGGCTAAAAATAGCCTCTCAGAGCCTCTCAGGCCTCTGAGCACCAATTGCCAACCACTCCTGCACAACCCTAAGCAGGAGTGTGTCACCTTCTGTCCAATTCTTCTCGCCACACACTCGCCACCACCACCCTCACTGTCGTAAACCGCGAAGATGACAAATCACCATGAAACTCAACTCCAGTCTCTCGCCAGATGATGGTGATTGCTCCAACTCATCAATCGCTCCATTGTTTGGATCCAATCGCTCTGATACCAACTGTTATGATTCTGATTGTCTGTTGTCTGAAGACCAACACTCACTCACATAGAATCCCAAGTATGCCCATACATACACAAAAGGAACGGGAGAGGATAGGAGTATCACACCTTACAGGGAGAGAAAAACACAGCGAAAGACTTGACCATGCAATATGAGAGGGTACACTGAAAGTGCAATTCACTCCACTCAATCCTCACACTCCTGCACAACCCTAAGCAGGAGTGTGTCACCGTCTGTCCAATTCTTCTCTCCACACACTCACCACCACCACCCTTACTGTCGTAAACTCTGAAGATGACAAATCGCCATGAAATTCAACTCCAGTGTCTCGCCAGATGATGGTGATGGCTCCAACTCATCAATCGCTCCAGTGTTTGGATCCAATCGCTCTGATACCAACTGTTATGATTCTGATTGTATGTTGTCTGAAGACCAACACTCACTCACATAGACTCCCAAGCATGCCCATACATACACAGAAGGAAGGGTAGAGGATAGGAGTATCACACCGCACAGGGAGAGAGAAACACAGCGGAGACTTGACCATGCGATATGACAGGGTACACTGAGAGTGCAATTCACTCCACTCAATCCTCACCACCAGTCATAGTGAAAGCCGAGAAGATCACATCCAAGAAACAATGAAACGATGATAGTATGAACCCAGTATCAACACTGTTTATTAGACTCAGATTCTTGAATTGCCAGAATAACCTCAGAACTATGATGCGCTGCTCAGAGATGAGCAGCGCTTCACTCGCCAACCCTGGTGAACCGCTATTACTACCCCCGAGTCCCTGAAACATCAAGCGCCACCGAGATACAGCCTCCAGAGGGAAGAGCCACCCTGAAATAGGCCTCTGAGGCCAAGCGCCACTCAGAGGATGAAGAAGAAGACCAGCGCCATAGTATCTGATGATGAAGAAGTGTCGAACGACTTCCCGGGTGGAAGTCTGCAGCACCGCCACCTCTCCTGACAAGAGGATCTCTGAGGAAGAAGCTGCAGCTATGGCTGCAGTGCCACAACCCTGTAACCCTACTCCGGAGGAGGGTCCAGCAGGGCACCAACTTCTCTCGCCTCCAGCAGACTTCGAATAGCCCAGACCTCTGTACAGCCCCACGTGCTGTCAGAGTACCGTGCAGGTCCCAACTATGGCCGGCGCTCCGCAGGTCTGGCTATGTCCGTCTTCTTCAACGCAAAGCTGTCACCACTTCCAGTTCGTGCGTGGCACAGCAGCGATGTACACTGTACCAACTGCCAAAAGCCCTGAACCGATGTCTACATCCTATCTATAACCTACCCTAGCCTAGACTTGACCTAGACCGGACTGACTGGACCAACTGGTACCGTATCAGTTTCGGCCTCTTGGCCTCTACCTTACCCGGTTATAGGCTATAGGACTGTCTATCAGCATAGGCCCGCAGGGCCTGTCTGTCCTAGGGGTAGCCCGGGCCTGCTACTCGCAGTTAGGGTAGTTGTAGGTACTGTTAGTTAGTATGGGACTATATTTTCCCGAATTTTGCAGATATGTCCCTCTCGGATTTTCCCTACAGGTAGGTCTCTCGGTTAGCCCTCAGCCAAACAAAATTACAAATCTATCCTACCTATAGTACAGCCTCGACGAGAGAGGCTACAGACCGTCAGAACCAGCAAGTCATTGCATACGGACCCCTAACCACAAGCCATTTCAAACAAGACTAACCATCCGTACATCCGGTTCGTACGAGGAAATATATGAAGATCAAAACCAGAAGGGAGGGGGAGCGGACTTAGCAGCAAATTGTGTCTTTCTTTCTTGATAATATGAAATCAGGTGCTGAGCATGCAATGTAAAGTGAATGGAAAGGTGAGTTGTGCAGTGTGAAACATTTCGGCGTTCCTGTGCGAGTCACCTTTCCACTCGCTTCCGATTGCAACCAAAATCGATCATGGATCACCAAAATTAATCTGATGCGATACTCACGGACGCTTTGGCGTGTCAAAGACGTGTCTATCCGTACATGTGAACTTTCCATGTGTCGATGACTGTACAACATAACATACATTATCATCATGCACATGCACATTGCTCTGGGCGCCCATTCACCTTGAAGCAGAGTGCTGCTCTTTTCCGATATACGCTTTTTTTTAGTTTTTCGAATCGGGCCTTGGCCGGTACTGAAAGTGGCAGGCCGCTTTGAAAAAGGCGCAGTTTTTTGTAGGGTTGTAAGGCTTGGAAGGTAGCCTCGTCGACTCAGACTCGCGTAAACTGGTGGTTTAAACCACAAGTCGACACAAGCCTAAGTTTTTGAATCTACTTCCGAGGGTCATGACCCTCAAAATGTGCCATTTCATCGTGGCTTATCATGTTCATTCCTGGCACCAGGCGTGAATCGAAAAGCTCTAATACCTTGTGAACCGGTAAGAGCGCCCTACTTCGCTTCGGGTGAACATTGCCACATGTCACGAAAAGGGACGATAATGAATTTGAGTAAGGACGATATGGAATTGAGAAAACTGCAACCATTCATACAGGAAAGAGTTAGTCCAGAAATAAGTTCACGAAAACAACACAATACGCCCACACACCTCAAAACTCAACTTTCAAACTCCACAACACTTTCCTCAAGCAAACAACACACCCTATGCTCCTGTGCCGCCTTGATTCCACCTCTCTCACACAGTCGTTTACACGATGCCTCATGCTGTGCTCATACCCAGCAACCACGTCGTTAGCCGATGTAGATTGCCAGCTGATGGGGCCTGGTGGTGAACCTGGCTTCGAAACCATGATCCTCACCGACCTACCTAGCGCCTCAAACACAGCAGGCCTGTCTGACATCCACACTTTGCATTCCTAGCATTAATCCATTCACATAGTCTTGCAGGCAGACAGACACACACAAACACACACACACTCAAAGTGCTTATTACGGAGAGAGAGAGAGGCTTCAAAGTGCTTATTTCAAGTTATTTGTGTTGTTGCCGCTCGGGTGCTGTGCTGTTCTTTAAAACAAAAAAAAAAGGACCTTTTCTAGATTTATGTGTGCCATGCTTGTGCAGCGGCCATGTTAATGTTCTCTGTGTCATTCCAATTATTACGGATGTCCCGAAAGGACAAATGATTTAAACTTTAAACTTCTAGTTTTGTTGAAATTTTGAGATTATTGCTGTGCGTCCTTTGGAACATATGTAAAATTGGAATGATACAGAGAAGATTAGCGTGGTCTCTGTGCATTAAAAAGAAAACGAAAAAAGATGATTGTTGTCCTGTTGCTGAAGATTATTGCCGTGCTGCTGCTGAAATCACTGAAAACAGTAAAAAGTATCCTCTGATTCAACAGATTCGGGCCCAGCACCGAAGTGTGCGGGCCCAGACTAAAGAAAGGGGGCCTGGACTCCCCTATCCCCAAAATCGAAAGGGCATCGTGCACTGCACTCCCATCCATCCACAGCACGCACCTGCACCTGCACCTGCACCACACACCACACACCACACACCACAGCCAAGCAGTGTGATGAACATGTGTGTGCCATGCAAGTCCACACGACTCCACAGGGATTTTGTGCTTGCGCGGCTCGTAGCCCACAGCGCGCTGTGCGCAAAACACACTGGGATCAGATTGATTCAGACATAGTTCCCTTCCCCCCCCCCCCCCCCAAATTGTACCACATCATCCTTGCGAAGGGGCCATCCTGATCTCGATTTATGCACCTCATCCTTGTGAAGAGGCCATGCTAATCTTCTCTGTCTTGTTCCAATTTTAATTTTTAACGCATGTCCCAAAGGACTTGGGATCCGACGTTCTAACTTTTTCACAGGTTGCGAAGTGAATAGAATGAATAATTTTATTAATTTGGATAATTGAATCATAATTAATGAAATAAGAAATGGTGGATCACGGCTCACGGTAAAGGTGCGCATGCACAACCATTGACAAACGGACCAATAGCGTGCCCCAGGTGGTCAGTTGATATTACTTGATAACTTGAGATTGAAGCCAAGACCTCCTGAATGCGACTTACGCGGCTCTAACCGAGTTAGGCCACTTGCTGAATAGTTTAGATCCTGATAAACCCTTTTCCAACAGTTCTCTTTGTAATCAACAGTAAAACTTCCTAAAAAGGCAGCAGTACTGTTGCCTTTTCAAGTTTTTAGACCTTTTTGCTGTTGCCTTTTTACTGTTGCCTTTTTACTGTTGCCTGGTTTAGGGTTTACGGGATCGGGCCTCTGTTATGAGTCGGTATGTTTTTTTGTGGGGGATTGCGTTCTTCGCTACGTAACACACATGAATGCATGGCTGCATCGGAAAAATGATAACTTCTGTCTGATTGAAGAAATTTCGTTGGCATTCTGTGCAGGTTCAGTCTAGCATGACTGACCAGGGTTTCAAGTAGGACTTGTCTGGAGAGAAAATCTTTAGCCATTGATTTCCCCTCGGCGACTATTTGAAGATGAAAATGAAGCAAGGCGGTCAGGTAGTGTCGGCAAAGGCTGCAGCTTTGCCGACGACAATGGCAAGGAAGGACGTCAGGCCTGGATTGCTTGTTGGAATGGAGCGCCGGTGCATTCTCATGTCGGGACTCCCTCTGGCCATTTTCATCACTGTGACTTCTTTTCTGAACTACAACTGTCAGGTTTGTATCTGAGTTCTGATCACCGACCTTCCGATTGCAGTCACTCTTGAGTCTTAACCTCTCCCTTCATGTCAGTGCAATGACCCCACAGTTCGAAGAGCATCTCACAACATGCAAATAGCAACACTTCCTCGCACGAGATTGAAAAGCCAAGCACGGAGTATGAGAGCTCTGGAAACGGCTTGGAAATCAAAGTCTTATACAAGGGTACTATTTTTCTTATGCAAGCTGGGCGGCTATGGCTTCCAGCATCAGTAACCAAGAATCAATTTGATCTCTCTCTCTCTCTCTCTCTCTCTCTCTCTCTCTCTCTCTCTCTCTCTCTCTCTCTCTCTCTCTCTCTCTCTCTCTC